CCTGGGTCCAGGGTGCCAGAGGGAAGCTGGTACTAGCAGCCAGGGGAAAGGAGGACTATTCTTTTTCTTTTTTTTCTTTTTAATATATTGTATTGATTTTTTTACAGAAAGGAAGAAAGAGGGACAGAGAGAAACATTGATGAGAGAGAATCATCCATCAGCTGCCTCCTGCACACCCCCTACTGGGGATGGGCCCGTAACCAAGGTACATGCCCTTGACCAGAATCGAACCTGGGACCCTTCAGTCCGCAAGCCTATGCTCTATCCACTGAGCCAATGTATTAGATGCTGCAATAAATTCCTATTGGTTAAAATAATAAATACATTTTAAAAATTGGATATAGATTCTGTCCAGACATTTCACCAAAGGAGATAAAGACAGTGTAAATAAACACATGAAAAAACACTTGCCATAAAATATTCTTAGGGAAATGGAATTAAAACAAAGCAAGTTAACACTATACTCATTTCTCAGCCTTCTATTTAAAAATATTACACACCACATGTGCTGGCAGGTTGTGGAAAAAGTAGAATTTTCATTACCATTAATGGATGGGATGGCAAAGGGAATGACTATTTTAGATCACAGTTCCAGATATATTTACAGGGAAAACATTCACCTACACTGCGTCAGTTTGATATATACCTCTATAGAAAGAACTGAAGGTAAACATCCCCAGCAGATTTGTTTATATTACTCCAAACCTGAAAATAACCAAAACCATAGACAGACCAAAAGATAAATTTATTACCCAACATACTACTACTCACCAATAAAATATAACTTTTCACATGAGCATCAGTGTTGAACCTCAAAATAACTGTGTAGCATGAAGGAGACCAGTCTTTGTTAAAGAGCACACATACCTTTTAGTGACAAATTATGAAAATATAAACTAATCTTGTAAAGGAAGATCAATGACAGCATGGAGGGCTGGGGAAGGCAGAGAGATTATGAAAGGGCAGGGGGATGTCAATACAGGGTCTGGCAAAAGTAGAACTGTTGGCATGAAAATTATACAATTTAAAAACCCAATCTAATAAATGAGTAATATACAAATTGACCATCAGTCCAACATACAAAATGGCCACCCCTATGTGGTGAAAGATGGCTGCCACAAGAAGGCCAGCAGGGGAGGGCAGTTGAGGGTTATCAGACCAGCAGGGGAGGGCAGTTGTGAGAAACCAGGCCTCAGGGGAGGGCAGTTAGGGGTGACCAGGGCAGCAGGGGAGGGCAGTTGGGAGGGATTAGGTCTGCAAGGGAGGACAGTTGGAAGGACCCAGGCCTGCAGGGGAAGGCATCAGGGGGGGAGAGGGGGAGAGAACCAGCCCTGTAGGGGAGGGCAGTTGTAGGTGATCAGGCCTGCAGGGGAGGGCAGTTGGGGGCGACCAGGCCAGCAGGGGAGGGCAGCTAGGGAGGACAAGGCCTGCAGGGAAGGGCAATTGGGGGGAGGGGATTGGGCCTGCAGGGGAGGGTAGTTGGGGGGAACCAGGCCTGCAGGGGAGGGCAGTTGTAGGTGATCAGGCCTGCAGGGGAGGGCAATTGGGAGAGGACTGGGCCTGAAGGGGAGGGCGGTTGGGAACAACTAGGCCTGTATGGGAGGGCGGTTGTAGGTGATCAGGCCAGCAGGGGAGACAAGGCCTACGGGGAAGCACAACTGGGGGGAGGGGACTGGGCCTGCAGGGGAGGGCAGTTGGGGGCAACCAGGCCTGCGGGGGAGGGTAGTTGGAGGCGACCAGGCTTGCTGGGAAGGCAGCTAGAGGCAACTGGGCCAGCAGGGGAGCGGTTAGGCATCAAGCGGTTGGGAGCCAGCAGTCCTGGATTGTGAGAGGGTTGTCTGACTGTCCAGTTAGGCCCAATCTCTGTGGGCAGTTGGACATCCCTCTAAGTGTCCCAGGTTGGAGAGGGTGCAGCCTGGGCTGAGGGATACCCCCTCCCCGGCCCATGCACAAATTTTGTGCACCCAGCCTCTAGTAAAAATATAAGAAACTGTTCCCTGCCAGTGTGCCTCAGTTGGTTGGGCACCATCACTGATTCCATTCCACATGCCTGCCTGGATGCACTGTTAGTGGCATGCGGGAGGCAGCTGTTTGATGGTTCTTTCTAATGTCACCATTTGCCCTGTCTCTACCTTCCTCTTTGTGAAGTCCATAAAAATGTTTTAAAATATATAAAATACTTATTTAGAAAAATAGAGTAAACGCTGTGTTTTGCATATTCACATCTACATGCCTGGTTTTGCCCTAACCTGTCTATGGGTGAGAGAGTTTATTTCACGTAACTATTTTAGAGCTTGATCCAGATGTCCCAGCTCACCAAATAGTACACAAGAGAAAAGTACATCTGGTTACAATTCAGTTATAAACATATCAAAATAAAGCCTTACAAAGTACTTCCAAATAAAGGTCTTGTTGTAAAATTAAAATGGCAACCCTATGTGGGCTCTACCATCTCTCTCTTACTTTCCCGGGAGAACTGGGCTTTGTTCAGTGGAAGCAAATCAGTGAAGACTATTGCCATCAGAATTTAAAAAAATGATGAGCTGAAACCGGTTTGGCTCAGTGGATAGAGCGTCAGCCTGCAGACTGAAAGGTACCAGGTTCTATTCTGGTCAAGGGCATGTACCTTGGTTGCGGGCATATCCCCAGTGGGGTGTGTGCAAAAGGCAGCTGATCAATGATTCTCTCTCATCCATGTTTCTAACTCTCTATCCCTCTCTCTTCCTCTCTGTAAAAAAAATCAATAAAATATATATTTTTTTAAAATGATGAATTGTTACAAAAGACACAGCCTGGGATTCATTATAGGATTAGCTTTGAGTTCTTCCCTGCTGAGCACACCTTGAGGTGAATACCCTAGAGCAGCCACAAAAGTGTTAGTTTCCTCTGCCAATGACTTCAGACACAGGGAATAGCGATGGAGGTCAGAGAATATCTGTGCACAGAGATCACAGGATCCAATGACCCTGACCATTTGTGGATAACGTTCAGAAGAGGCTCTTTTCACCGAATTTATTGCAGTCTTTCCCACTCACTATGAACACAGTGTTTCTGTCCTAACTGTGTTTCAATCTAAACCTCAGTGTCTTATAGCAAATGACACCAGCCTATGAAATTTTATTCATTATGGCACATGGCTGCTTTAAAGTGGGTAGGATCCCCTGAAACATTCCTGAGCGTTGTGTAATAAATGCTGTGAACAGAGAGAAGTTCATATTGTTCACAGAAGCACTACAATGTGACCATGAGTGTCCTCCTTTTTCTGGGTGACCATGACATCACCAATAATAGAGGTGACAGACTGAAAACTAGAACCACAAAGTCATGCAGACTTTCTCTCTCAGAGCCAATAGTGCTGATCTGAAATCATGCTGTGCTTTGCAAAGCACAAAATGTTTGGGACCCCACCATATCTGTTCACCTCTTCATTCTGACAGAGCACTACTCCTTTCAATCATCCCATGGAAATTAAAAAAAAAAAAAAGGTAGAAAAGATAAAAACCCTTCACAAAAAGATCATAAACCAGAGCAGAGGACAACAAGAGGTTTGCAGGCTGGTGAACTGGAACCTGAAACACTTCAACACAGCATGATGTGAGACCCACAGTGTCCCTGAAAGAGGCTGCACTTCTTCGCTGAGGATGGGAGCTCCGGGTGAAACCTGGGTCAGAGAATAAGGAATGAAGATCCCGCCAAGAGCTCAGCGTGTTCATAAATTTCTCAAGCACCAGGGAGAACACAGAATTCCTTTCCCCGAGCACCAGGGGTGGTGACTGATGCACACTGTTCAGCTGAGCCAGGTGGTGGAGGAGGTCACTTCAGCCACAAACACTTCACAGTGACACCAATGAGGTGGAGTCCATGGAAGATATAGCAAGTGCAATGCAGCTCCTTCAAGCCTCACTTGTACCTCACAATTATGAGAAATTCCCCACAGTGTATGTTCAGATAAGAGTCGTTTAAACTCAGGTAACTGGATTTAAGTCTCCTTCAGTGTTGTCGAGAGAGAAAGATAAACCATCCCCTGCACAGTTAAGGTTTTTCTCCAGGGTGAGCTCTCAGATGCCTAAGGCGGCTAGGTTTGCTGCTAAAACTTTGCCCACATTTAGTACATTCATAAAGCCTTTCTGCAGTGTGACTTCTGTGGTGGTCCAGGAGCAAATGTCCTTGTCAAAATGACTTTCCCGATCACTTCACTCCTACGGCTTTTCTCTGGTATGAATTCTGTGGCGTTGAATAAGATTACAGTCCCATCTAAAGAACTTCCCACAATCACGACGACTTTTCTCCAGTATGAACTGTGTCTAAAGAACGTCCCACAATCACTGCATTCAGAAGGTCTTTCACCACTGTGAATTCTCCTGTGTACAGAAAGGTGAGAGCTTTGCCTGAAGGACTTTCCACAATCACTACACTCATATTGGGTTTTCTCCAGTGTGAACTATGTGGTTTGAAATGAGGTCGGAACTAGGTTCAAAGGCCTTCCAACAACCAGTACACTCATAGGGCTTTTCTCTCGTGTGAGTTCTGTGGTGGTCCATGAGTGTAGGTCTATGTCTAAAGGACTTCCCACAATCACTACACTCATACGGCTTTTCTCCAGTATGAACTCTGAAGTGTCGAGAGAGGGTAGACTTTCGTCTGAAAAACTTCCCACAATCACTACATTCAAAAGGTTTTTCTCCAGTGTGAATTCTCTTGTGTTCAGAGAGGTCGCTGCTTCTCGTGAAAGACTTCCCACAATTAGTGCACTCATAAGGTTTCTCTCCAGTGTGAAGTCTCTTGTGGTTAAGGAGTGTATTATTGCTCCTAAAAGATTTCCCACAATCAGCACACTCAAAGGGTTTTTCTCCAGTGTGAATTCTTTTGTGGTTAAGGAGCTTATTCTTTCTCCTAAAAGATTTCCCACAATCAGCACACTCATAGGGTTTTTCTCCAGTGTGAATACGTTGATGTTCAATGAGCTGAGAGCTTTGCCTGAAGGACTTCCTGCAATAACGACACTCATAGGGCTTTTCTCCAGTGTGAACTCTGAGGTGTAAAATGAGGTCGGACCTTTGCCCAAAGGACTTCCCACAATCAGTACACTCATAGGGCTTCTCTCCAGTGTGAATTCTCCCATGTCGAATGAGATGAAAGATTCGTTTAAAAACTTTCCCACAGTTGTCACACTCATATTTCCCTTCTCCAGAGCAGGCACCCTGATGCTGAACGACTTTCCGGTTGTGGCTGCCTGAATTTTCACAGTTCCAAGTCTGGCGAAGACTTTTTCCACCAAGATATTCCTGTGGAATCTCACTGCCACTGTGCAGGTCCTCAGTGATGAGAGGGGCCTGGTGCTGGAGAAGGCCTGAGATGGCTGGGAAGTCTTCCCCAACCTGCCCACTGGTTGAAGGCAGCCCTGATAAGGAGAAGCTGAAGTTGGTCACAAACGAGGCCCCGTCCACAGCTTCTTTCCAGGGCTTCTCTCCACTGGCTTCCGTCTGCTGCTGGTGAAGGTTTGCACTGAAACAGAAGTCTCTCACACGTGCATCACGGAAGAAGCCTTTCTGCTCAAAGTCTGCCCCTGGTGACTCAGTCAGGTGCAGAATATCTTTGAACACCGAGACACACTGCTTACACAGATGGGTCCTCTGAGTTGCAGGAGTTGTCTCATAAGCCCTGAACTGTAACTCTCCTTGTATAGATATGGTCTTCTCGGGACAGACCTCCTCATCATCTGTTTTATGCCAACAACCTGAAAAGAGAGAAATGAGGAGGGAAATGAATGTTGACTGTGGTGACAGGGGAAGTCCCACTGCTAAAGTGTTTTGCACATAATACATGGGTTCTATGTAACTGTCTGAAAATAAGAAATGTGCAAAGAAGGATATAAGAAGATCCTGTGAAAGTCTAATCTCTGAAGGGCAAAAAATAGAGAACACCTCACCAGACACATGACACACACATGACAAGGACCGTGGAAAAGAAGTTACATCTCCAACTCAGTCTTCTGCTAACAGTGCTCAGCAGGGCTGGTCTGCTGATGACATAGGCAAGCTGTGAGGAAAGTTGGCTATATCTTATTCCAAGTAAAATTCAATAAACGAGTAGCAGGTGTTCCAGGACTACTTAACCATGAATGTGCACCTCAACACACATGTGCAGGTCCATGTAGGAGAATTCTGCACAGGGAGCAGTGTAGAGGGACAGGTGATGCAAAAGGGTGACAAAGTTGAAGGTAATCAAATGCCAAGAAATCAGAGATGAAATGCAAGTCAGAAAAGTGTCAAGTATGGGAAAGAGAAGGCAGAAATGGGGTGTAGCCAGTGGCACCTGCCCAGAAACACTGTCGAAAATTAGTTGGTTCCTTGTACCATCTGACCACGACCATTATGGCATACCTTCCCCCAGTTGTCACTTAGCGTGGCCAGACCTCCTTTCAGACCATCTTGCATGTTCACTCTATAAGAAAAACAGGTTTTGTGGAAACCGGTTTGGCTCAGTGGATAGAGCGTCAGCCTGCGGACTGAAGGGTCCCAGGTTCGATTCCGGTCAAGGGCATGTACATTGGTTGAGGGCACATCCCCAGTGGGGGGCGTGCAGGAGGCAGCTGATCGGTGTTTCTCTCTCATCAACATTTCTAGCTCTCTATCTCTCTCCCATCTTCTCTGTAAAAAAATCAATAAAATATATTTTTTTAAAAGAAAAAAAAAAGAAAAACAGGTTTTCCCTGAATCTTCTATTCTACCGATGCATAAACCCTAAATATTCCAATTATTAATGAAAGACAACGGAGGAGAGCAGCCAGCTGTGTCTCAGAGCAATTTAGAACACAACAGTACTAAGCAAAGGTAATATTACAAACAACTGAAGAAGGATCTTGCAAGAATAGCCCAAGATTCATGTAAGTGAAGAACATAGCCTGGCAGAGGCTGTCATAAAGCACTTTTCCCTAGAGGAAGAGGGAAGAAGGGAATAAATGTGGGTATTGTCACCCTCCCAGGGGGAGGAAGAGGAAGATGGGACCCATTAAGCTGCTGTAAGACTCCCGATTCCCGATACTTTCTGCCCTTTTTGAGGCAATGGATGCCAGGGATGTTCCTAGAGTTCATTGGTCAGGGCTCTCCACACAGCTCAGCAATGGCAGCCACAGCACATTTGACAAGACAGGGGCAGAAATCAGCAGAAGCCATGGCCTGGCTGTGGGAGAGAGAAAGCTACACTTGGAGAATAAAGGAAGAGAGGCCATCACCTCAGGACACGGGGACAATGTCAAGCTCTTACCTACAGATGAGACCAGTGCAAACACTTCCAGCATCACGTCGCAGTACAGAAGTCTCTGAGCCTCATCCAGGAGCCGCCACTCCTCCTGAGAGAAGGCGATGGCCACGTCCTCAAAGTTCATCTCCTGTCATAAGGGAGAAGTTTGGTCAATGATCAGCTTGTCTCTTAGGCTTTACTTTCATCATACTTCCCACTCTCCCTCTCCACCTGCTTCCTCCACTCACCACATCACAGAAGATAACAGACCTTGTATGAACCAAAGTCACTCTCTCCTTATATTCCTACCGATACTGTGTCTTATCACAGGAATAGAGCAGATGCCCACATTGATTATACCTGACTTCAGGGCCTCACCTTATGGTTAATGCTATGGGTGTCACCAACATAGGGTACAGATAAATGTTGGCCATGAAGACAGAAGTGAGGGATTTGACACTGGTCTTATGGTGCAATATTCTTGTTGTCCAACATATTCTCCCTCCAAGACCCAAAAAAACAGGCATCACTCTTCATCCTTTCCATTCCTATCCGAGGGTGCTCAGGCCAAAGCTTTGTGCTACCTGTTCCACTTAATTGTTTGTATCCCCTTCTCAGAAAGCTTCATTCCCAGAGTCACAGCTTCAAACACAACACATACACTCCATGTAGAGGAGGGGATGTTCCTAATCACCCTCTTTTCAACATTCTAACTCACCAACTCTGTAATGTATTTCTCTCTTACCCTTTACCCTTCCCCAAGCCCATAGAAATGTTCAAGCCCAGGTGACACTGATGTATGCTATCCCATTCCTATAGATCACTGTATCAGCCCAACAACAACAGGCAGCTGTGCATCCATCTGACACCTAAATTCTGGACCTGGCATGTAGCGCCACAACGCCCATCTTTTCAGGAATTATCCTAAAATTCTCCATGTTTTATCATCCAGTATCACCAGAAATGGACTCAATTTTCATTCCCTCTATAGCAACATCAGGGATCTGTGGCCATGAATTCACACCCCCTCTCCGAGAGCACATCACTCTTTCTCCCACACCCTCCCACACCTGTGCTCCTGTAGCCCAGCTCCCATAGACATCTCCTTGGTCTTAGTCATTACTCAGCATGTGTGTTCCAGAGAAGGCATGACAAGTTCAAACAGTATCAAGCACTAACCTGACTCTGATTGCCCACACACCCCCAAACGGAGCCTTCAGTTTTGCAATGAAGACCTCAAAAATAGTTTTTCCTTCCACCTCACCTTTTGAGAACCACATCAGATCTCAGTTATCCAGAGCCCACGTCTACTGCTGCTGCACTTGATGTCCCTTCTCACCTCACAGCCCTCAGTACTCAAGTACCACCGCCTATGGCCCTCTGCCCCATGCCCAGTGAGTCTCACAGATGCCCACTCAGGCCCATAAGCAAGTCAACCAAACTGCATGCAACACACCAGGCCACACAAAGGGTCACAAGAAATCCTGGTGAGTGATTGAGAAGTAAATATGCTCCAGCCACATCTTATCTTTTTTTTTTTTTTTTTTTTAAAAAACAAAACATCATATACAGTATATATATATATATATATATATATATATATATATATATATATATATATACTTTTTTTTACAGAGAGGATGAGGGATAGTTAGAAACATCGATGAGAGAGAAACATCAATCAGCTGTCTCCTGTACACCTACTACTGGGGATGTGCCCACAACCAATGTACATGCCCTTGACCGGAATCGAAGCCAGGACTTCTCAGTCTGCAGGCCAATGCTCTATCCACTGAGCCAAACCAGTTTCGGCTCAACTTTTTTTTTTCTTTTTAATATATTTTATTGATTTTTTTACAGAGAGGAAGGGAGAGAGATAGCTAGAAACGTTGATGAGAGAGAAACATCGACCAGCTGCCTCTTGCGCACCCCCTACCGAGGATGTGCTTGCAACCAATGTACATGCCCTTGATCGGAATCGAACCCGGGACCTTTCAGTCCGCAGACCGACGCTCTACCACTGAGCCAAACCGGCTTCGGCTCGGCTCACCTTTTTTAAATTACTCTTCTACCTTCAATAAAATAAATAAGTGATCTAAAACTCCTCCCTGGTCCATACCCTTTACTATTTTTTTAAGTAGTCTTCATTTTGAACTACTCCTCACAGGTCCAGTTATGCACTGATCTCTGAAATATCTCATACCCTAATAGAAAAAATATATGATTTTATATTCCTCATGAACTTAACTTTTCCTTCTATGAATTTCTGTCAGCTGATGGTGCTTTCATAACAGCAAGTGCTTAATCCAAACCTTTACTTCATCTCTGATTCTTTTTTTTTTTAAACAACATATTTTATTGATTTTTTACAGAGGGGAAAGGAGAGGGATAGAGAGTTAGAAACATCGATAAGAGAGAAACATCAACCAGCTGCCCCCTGCACACTCCGCACTGGGATGTGCCCGCAACCAAGGTACATGCCCTTGACTGGAATCGAACCTGGGACCATTCAGTCCGCAGGCCGACGCTCACTGAGCCAAACCGGTTTCGGCTTAGTCTTCATTTCAAGACTTTGCACATCCTGGAACCTATGCATGGAAGAACCTATCACCCACAATTCAACTGGATGCCAAAACCAGGTGCCACTCATATGAACCTTGACCTAGACCAGTGGTCGGCAAACTCTTTAGTCAACAGAGCCCAATATCAACAGCACAACGATTGAAATTTCTTTGGAGAGCCACATTTTTAAAACTTAAACTTCTTCTAACACCACTTCTTCAACACAGACTCGCCCAGGCCGTGGTATTTTGTGGAAGAGCCACATGTGGCTCGAGAGCCACAGTTTGCCAACCACGGACCTAGACTTAGGGTTCTGGGCTTGGTGTCTCTTCAAGGTCCCCAGGTCCAAGGTCCCCCGAGGAGAGCGGCTGGACAGCCCAGGCCCCACAGCCTGAGGCCCCCGCAGTGGGAGGCCCTGACCTCAGCCCACAGCCCGGCCCCTGAGCGGCTCTGACCGCAGAGCCTGTGGGAGCGGAAGGCGCTGAGGGCCCGGCTCCGCCGCCAGGACCCGGGGCCCAGGCTGCTCGGGGCCTGGCCCAGCCCCGGGGCCGGGGCCGGGGCCGCCGCCCTCTCGGGCTCCGTCCCTCTGTGCGCACAGCCAGCCCGGCCCTGAGGAGGACAGGCTCCTCCCGGAAGCCCCGGTCCCTTTAGACACACAGGCCGGCCGCCGCCCTCCGCCCCGGCCTCCCGGGCCCCGCCCGCCCCTGCGGCCCCCACGGGCACTCACTGCTCCGGGCGGCGGCCTGGGCTGCGGCCTGAGCGGCGCCGCCCCGAGGCGGGAGGGCCGCCGGGGCCGCTGAGGGCGCTCTGTCCGCGGGAGGAGGCGGGGGCCCGGGGACCCAGTCCCGCCGGGTGGGGGTGCCCCGCCTCAGACACCTGCCCGGCGGGACGCCGCCTCCCACGCCTCCTCCTACTCGCCAACAAGACCGCGGCCGCTGGTCAGTCTGTTAACAAAAGACGGAAAAATGTCCGCAGGAAGTCCCGCCCTAACAGGATGTGCAAGCACCAAAATGCTCCTAACCCTGCGTGCTCTGGCGCAGTGCTTTCTGGGTAATGTAGTTTTTGCAACGGCTCATAGGAAGGCTCATCCAGACCATAGTTCCTGGTGAGAATTTGTGTTGAGGCCCCACAAGTGGTACTGGAAATGGGACTGGAGGTTTGCTTACCTGGTCCACACGGACAGATGTCTCAGGGGAAGCGGATGGGAAGCCTGAAACCAATCCACCAAGCAATATACACGGAGTGGCCAGGTTTTTATGATATTTGAAGGCATAATAATCTGGCCATTTAGTGTTTATGTACTTATATATTAGAGGCCCGGTGCATGAATTCGTGCATGGGTGGGGTCCAGCCAGTTTGTCCTTGGGGAGGGGTCATGGGCGGTTGGCTGAACTCCTGATGAAGGGGACAATTTACATATTAGTCTTTTATTATATAGGATATACACTGAGTGGCCAGATTATTATGCCTTCAGAGATCATAATAATCTGGCCACTCAGTGTATATACAGGGGGAAATGGGAGACATCTGGAATATTACCAATGACAAAAAATACTTTTTAAAAATTTTAATACTATAACCTACAGTCAGTGGTTGAGCATCAAACTGTGAACTAAAGTCATGGTTCTATTCCTGGTCAGGGCACATACATGAGTTGCAGTCTCAATTCCCATGGAGAGAAGAGGTACAGAAAGAGGCCAATTAGTAATTCTCTCTCAACATTAAAGTTTCTCTCTTCCTCTTCCTTTATCCCTGAAATAAATTATTTTTTGAGCCAAAACCAATTTGGCTCAGTGGATCGAGTACCGGCCTGCAGACTGAAAGGTCCCAGGTTCGATTTCGGTCAAGGGCATGTACCTTGGCTGCAGGCACATCCCCAGTAGGGGGTGTGCAAGAGGCAGCTGATCAATGATTCTCTCATCAATGTTTCTCTCTCTCTTTTCCTCTCTGTAAAAATCAATAAAATATATTTTTAAAAAGATATTTTTTGAATGTATGACTTAAATCAATTGTACTTAATTCAAACGTTAAAAAGGCTTAAAATTTTACTGTTATTATGAAAGTTCTGGAGCACATTTGTTGCAACTATATAGGTATGTTGGAAATAAAATATAATCATGTGCTAAGGAAAGGCCTTTTTTAATTCTTTATTAAAGGAAATTAATGAAACTTTTTAAAATATATATATATATATATATGTATATATATATATATATATATATTTGATTTTTTACAGAGAGGGAGAGGATTGAGAGCTAGAAACATTGATGACAGAGAAACATCAACCAGCTGCCTCCTAGACACCAACCAATGTACATGCCCTTGACCACAATCGAACCTGGAACCTTTTAGTCCACAGACCAACGCTCTATCCACTGAGCCAAACCGTTTCTGGCTGAAATGTCTTATCATGTGCATATTCAATGCTATCACCTTGGCAGTTGAAAACAGACCATGATGAGAGTTTTTATGCCACGAAAATTGATAAATTGCACAAACCTAGACTTTATTTAATGGATTAATGAATGCTTAGACTTAAATAAGAGTGGCTCTGAATATTAGCAATGCAACTTAAATGTATAAATATATCAATATGTTGGCTTCATTTGTACATACTATTAAAACTGAGTAAAACATATGTAATACCTTAATCAATAAAAATTTAAAATAATTTTAAAAAATAAAGCTCTGATGGGCTTGGCTCAGTGGACAGAGTGTCTGTCTGCAAACTGAAAGGTCCCAGGTGCGATTCTGGTCAAGGGCATGTACCTTGGTTGCAGGCACATCCCCAGTAGAGGGTGTGCAGGAGGCAGCTGATGGATGTTTCTCTCTCATCAATGTTTCTAACTCTCTCCCCCTCTCCCTTCCTCTCTATAAAAAAATCAATAAGAAATATATATATATTTTTTTTAAAGAACACCTGAGTAAAACAATTTTTCTTCTAGGATTGAAACCTGTGGCTCCATATGGCAAAGGAGTCACTTGAGTCACTGAGGAATGCAGAAAATTGAAGCATATTTCTTAGATGCTGCACAGTCCTGCTTCAGTTAAAATAATAAATTTATTTAGACAATTTGAAAAATATGCTCAGCAGATATTTTTAAAATATATTTATTTTCTTGATTTTTTTTACTGAGAGAATGGGACATTCAATACACCAAGTATTGCCTGTAAGTATGAACAATATGAACTATTTTATTGTAAAAAAGGAAAGTCCATGACTGCATGGAGGGCTGAGAGAGATTATAACAAGGTATTAGGAAAATATAGCATATGGCAAAAAGCAGGCTTAGAGTTGCTGGTATGGAAGACAATAATTAATGATAATAATACACAGGAATAATCTCTTCCCAGGTCAGTTATCTCAGCTGCGTGGGTGTCATCCCATTCATTGAAAGGTCTCTGGTTTGATTCCAGGTCAGTGCACATCCCCAAATGGAACCCCAATAGTGGGCATGCAGGAGGCAGCAGATCTATGTTTCTCTCTCTTACCCTCTCTTCGTCTCTCTCCCTCCAAAAAAGAATAAAGATATTTTTAAACTATTTTAAAAAAATAATAATCTGTGTTTTGTGAACTTATCAGTGTGAGCCTATTATAGCGCCACCCTGTGTATGAATTAAAGGTGAATTTATGTCACATGTGACAGTTTCACAGCTTTATCTCTAGGTCAAGGCTCACCAAATAGCACACATGAGGAAGGTGCACTTTGTTGCATGTCAGTTCTGATTTTCAGGGAGGACCAACCTTACTTCGGTGGCAGCAAATACTGACAAACAGTAAAGACTAATTGCCATTGGAATCAATAGAAATGCTCACTGTTGGCAAAGGACACACATCCTGGGACTGATTAAGCATTATCTTTCCTCTAGCTTTGAGTTCTTGCCTGTTGAGCTACAACCTTGAGGAGAACAACCTAGAGGGGTTAGGGGAATAAACAAAATAAAATTTTTTAAAAAATCACAGGATATGATTTTGTCTGCCGTTGACTCCAGCTACAGGAAATAGTGATGGAGGTCCTCAGGATGTATTCAAAGATCATACAAGATACAGGCCCTGGAATACTGTGGACTTACGTCCAGAAGAGGCACTTTTCATCTAGATTAACTGCAGTGTCCGCCATGACTATGAAAACAGTGTTTATATCCCAAACTAATTCCACCTCAGAGTCTTACAACCAATGACACCAGCCTATGAAATCTCACACATGGTGAAACATGGCCTCTTTGGAACACGTGGACAGTAGTTCCCCTAAACATTGCTGACACTTATGTAATACTGCAAACACAGAATATAATTCATATTGCTCACAGGAGCACAATAAAGGCCACTTGTTCAGGGTGACCACTGACCTCTACAATAAAAGAGGCACCAGACAGCACTTTAGAATCACAAAGTCAAGCACACTTTCTATCAAGGCCTTGGTCGGCAATTTAGAATCAGCCAATATTGAACAAGGAGTGACTTTCTGCCATCAAGCTGTACCTTCCAAATAACCAAGTTTGAGATGAGATCCCACCACATCTGTTCACCTGTCCATGCGGACAGAACACAACTTTCCATTTAATAATCCCAAGGAGAGAATAGAACCAACAAAATTAAGAAAAAAGTCCTTTACATAAAAATCATAAACCAGAGCAGAGGACAGCAAGAGGTTTGCAGGTTGGTGAATTGGAACTTGAAACACTTCCAACACAGCATAATGTGAGACACACCATGTCCCTAAAACAGGTAGCACTTTAAAAAATATATATATATATTTTATTGATTTTTTACAGAGAGGAAGGGAGCGAGTTAGTTAGAAACATCGATGTGAGAGAGACATCGATGTGAGAGAGACATCGATCAGCTGCCTCTTGCATATCCCCCACCGGGGATGTGCCCGCAACCAAAGTACATGCTCTTGACCGGAATCAAACCTGGGACCTCTCAGTCCGCAGGCTGACGCTCTATCCACTGAGCCAAACCGGTTTTGGCGAGGTAGCACTTCTTGGTGGAGAAAGTAGGCTCTCTACAAAAGCTGCGCCAGATCAATTCTCTGGTCAGAAATAAAGGAGCTTAGAATATTCATAATTTTCTCAAGCACAACCATAAAGTATGCAGGTATTGTGACGGAGGCACACTCTTCAGGTGAGCCAGGTGGTAGGGGTGAAAGAGCTCCCACACAAATACTTGCAGTGACAACAAGGAGGTTGTAGTCCTGAGCAGATTAACAAGTGCGACGCTGTTTCTCAACGTGTCACTTATACCTGAAACTTAGGCGGCATCTAGGAGAGTGTATGTTCTGATAAAGGGGCTTGAATTCAGGTAAGTGGGGGTAAAAGCTTCGTCTTTGGTGGTGTTCTTCTGAATGAGAAAGTAACATTCCCAGCACATTTAAAGCTCTTTTCCAACGGAAACTCTCTGGTGCTCTGTGAGAGTGACGATTTGCCCAAATGAGTTCCGACAATCACTACAATCTTACGGTCTTTCACTGGTGTGAACTCTGAGGTGGTGAATGAGGTTACAGCTTTGACTGAAGCACTTCCCACAATCACTACACTCATATGGCTTTTCTCCAGTGTGAACTCTGTGGTGTGTAAGGAGGTTATAGCTCTGACTGAAGCACTTCCCACATTCCCTACACTCATAAGGCTTTTCTCCAGTGTGAACTCTGAGGTGCTGAATGAGGCCACCGCTTCGACTAAAGTACTTCCCACAATCAGTACATCGATGCGGCTTTTCTCCGGTATGAACTCTCTTGTGCATAACAAGGTGTGTAGTTTCCTTAAAATATTTACCACATTCACTACACTTGTATGGTTTTTCTCCAGTGTGAACCTTGCTGTGTTTGGTGAGGGAAGACCTACGATGGAAGGACTTCCCACATTCACTGCACTCGTAAGGCTTTTCTTCAGTGTGAATTTTGCGATGTCTGCTTAAGTTAGAGTACTGACTGAAGGACATCCCACAATCACTACATTGATATGGCTTCTCTCCAGTGTGAACTCTCTGGTGGGAAAAGAGGACAGAACTGCGGTTAAATGATTTTCCACATTCACTGCATTTGTAAGGCTTTTCTCCAGTATGGACTCTCTTGTGGATAAAGAGGTAATAATTGGAGGTAAATGATTTCCCACATTCACTGCATTTGTAAGGCTTTTCTCCGGTGTGAACTCTGCGGTGTTTGGTGAGGTGAGCTTTTTTCCTGAATGCTTTCCCACATTCACTACACTCATACGATTTTATTCCAGGGCAGTCTCCCTGACGTTGAACAAGGTTCTGGTTGTGGCTGGCAGCTTTTTCACATCCATCCCATTGGTGATGTCTTTTTCTATTGAGAAATTTCTGGTGACTCTCACTGCCACTGTGTGGCTCCTCGGTGCTGAGAGGGGCCTGGTGCTGGAGAAGGTCTGAGATGGCTGGGAAGTCTTCCCCAAGTTCCTTACTGGTTGAAGGCAGCCCTGATAAGTAGAAACTGAACCTGGTCACAAACGAGGCCCCGTCCACAGCTCCTTTCCAGGGCTTCTCTCCAATGGCTTCCCTCTGTGGCTGGTGAGGGTTTGCACTGAAACAGAAGTCCCTCACACATGCATCACTGAAGAAGGCTTTCTGCTGAAAGTCTACCGCATGTAACTCACTCAGGTGCAGAATATCTTTTAAAACCGAGAAACACCTCCGGCAGGGATGGGTCCTCTGGGTTGCTGGAGCTGTCTTAGAAGCACTGACCTGTGACTCCCCTTGTACAGAAACACTCTGCTCAGAACATGTCTCCGCATCATCTGTTTTATGACCACAACCTGAAAATAGAAAAATGGTGATGAATGTCGACTGTGGAGACAGAGAAAAATCTTATTTCCAACGTGTGTCCCACAAAGTGTGCTGGTTCCATGCAACTCTCTGAGGGTAACATCTGGAGGAAGGATTGATAAGATGCTGCTATGGCCGAAGCCAGTTTGGCTCAGTGGATAGAGTGTTGGCCTGGGGACCAAAGGGTTCCAGGTTCAATTCCGGTCAAGGGCATGTACCTTGGTTGCGGGCACATCCTCAGTGGGGGGTGTGCAGGAGGCGGCTGATTGATGTTTCTCTCTCATCCATGTTTCTGACTCTATCCCTCTCTCTTCCTCTCTGTGAAATATCAATAAAATATGTTTAAAATAAAATAAAAAAAAAAATGATGCTGCTATGAAGATAAGATCTGAGCCACTAAAGTCACCATACAGGGAAAATCTCAAAAAAATATGGCGAGCACCCATGGAACAGAAACTGAATCATCTGTTCATTCTTCTGCTAAGTGTTCAATAGGGCTTGTCTGTTGGGAACATGGACCAGTTGTGCAGAAAGTTGCTTACATCTTATTCCACATAAAATTCAAGAAATGAGAAGCTTGTGTCAAGATCTAGTGAAGTACGTCTGTGCACCTCATAACACACATGCATATGAATATCTGAGAATATTGCAGATAGAGCAGTTCAGAGGAACAGGTGATAGAAAAGGGGCAAAAAGGTGAAGGTAGCCAGAAACCAGGAAGCCACATATTAAAATATAAGTCAGGGAAATATCAAACACGGGAATGAAATGGTAGAAATGAGCTGTTGCTAGTTGCACCTTAACCTAAACTCTGTTGGACATGAGCAGGTTCCCGGTATGATCTAAACACCACCCTTATATCATAGTTCCCACAAAATGGAACTCAGGAGGGCCAGGTAACCCTTTAGATCATGTTTTATGTTCAACCTGTGAAAAGAACAGGGCTCTCCTTGTACCTTCTACTGTACAAGCACATAAAACATAAATATTCTGAGTTTTATTGACAGACAACAGAGCTGAGTAGGCAGCACTAGCCCAGAGCAAGACAGCATGCAGCAGTATTCACGGAACAGAATATTACAAACAGTGGAAGGAGGTCCTTCAAGAACCACCCATGGTGCATGCAAGTAAAGACAATAACCCGGCACAGTCAGTCCCAAAGGGCCTTTAGCTGGAGGAATGGTGCAGAAGGGAAGCCATGGATGTGAATATAGACACTCTCCTAGAAGGAGAATGTGCAACCTGGGCCCATTACGCTGTTTGCAGCAATCCTGACCTCTAGACACTTCCTCTCCTATGTGATGCTAACGGTGTGAGGGAGGGATATTCCTGGAGTCCTTTGCTCTGGGATCCCCTCATACTCATTACTCTCACCACAGCACAGTTCACAGGATAATGGAATAAAACGGACGAGCCCATGGTCTGGCTGTGGGAGAGAAAGCTATGTTTTGAGAATAAAGGAGGAGAGGACACGCCAAAACCGGTTTGGCTCAGTGCATAGAACGTCGATCTGGGACTAAAAGGTCCCAGGTTCGATTCCAGTCAAGGGCAAGTACTTTGGTTGCTGGCACATCCCCGGTGGGGTGTGCGCAGGAGGCAGCTGGTTGACGTATCTCTCTCATCGATGTTTCTAGCTCTTTATCCCTCTCCCTTCCTCTCTGTAAAAAATTAATAAAAATAAAAATATTTTAAAAAGCCAAAATCGGTTTGGCTCAGTGGATAGAGCGTCAACCTGGGGAATGAAAGGTCCCGGGTCTGATTCTGGTCAAGGGCATATACCTTGGTAGTGGACATATCCCGAGTAGGGTGTGTGCAAGAGGCAGCCGATCAATGATTCTCTCTCATTGGTGTTTCTAACTCTCTATCCCCTCTCTTCCTCTCTGCAAAAAATCAATAAAATATATGTTTTTAAATATTAAAAAAAAAAAAAAGGAATAGAGGGCATCACCTGAGGACACAGGGACAATGTGAAGCTCTTACCTACAGATGAGACCAGTGCAAACACTTCCAGCATCACGTCGCAGTACAGAAGTCTCTGAGCCTCATCCAGGAGCTGCCATTCCTTCTGAGAGAAGGCAATGGCCACATGCTCAAAGTCCATATCCTGTGATAATGGGGACAAGTCAGTCCATGATCAGCTTCTCTGCTAGGATTTTACTTTTATCATAAACCCCAATACCCACATCCACCATTTCCCTCTACACCCCGCATCACAGAAGATAGCAGACCTTGCATCCATCAGAGCCACTCTCTCCTTATATTCCTCCGATACTGTGTCTTCTCACAGCAATAGAGCAGATGCCTAGATTGATTATACCCGACTTCAGGGTCTCACATTACGGATCAACCCTATGAGTATCACCAACATAGAGTACAGATTAATGTTGGCCATGAAGACAGATGTCAGTGAGTAGACAATGGTCTTGTGGGAAAATATTCTTGTTGTCCAACACATTCTCCTTCCAAGACCCCAAAAAACAGGCATCACTCATTACACTTTCTTTCTTTTTCTTTTTTTTTTTAAAATATATTTTATTGATTTTTTTACAGAGAGGAAGGGAGAGAGTGAGCTAGAATCATTGATGAGAGAGAATCATTGATCAGCTGCCTCTTGCACACCCCCACCAGGGATGTGCCCGCAACCAATGTACATGCCCTTGACCGGAATTGAACCTGGGACCCTTCAGTCCGCAGACCGACGCTCTACCACTGAGCCAAACCGGCTTCAGCACTCATTACACTTTCGATTCCAATCTAGGATGCTGACACCAACACTTTGCACAACCTGTTCCACATAATTCTTTGTATCCCACTTCTCTCCCACAGCTCCATTCCCAGAGTCACAGCTACAAACACACACATATACACCATGAAGAGGAGGGATGTTCCTAATCACCCTCTTTTCAACATTGTAACTCACCTCCTCTGTAATGTATTTCTCTCTTACCCTTGTCCCTTCTCCAAACCAGTAGAGATTTTCAGGCCCAGGTGACACTGTTGTATCCGTTCCTATTCCTATTGATCCCTGTGCCAGCCCAACAACAGGCAGCTGTGCACCCATCTGACACCTAAATTCTGGACCTGGCATGTAGCGCCACAACGCCCATCTTTTCAGGAATTTCCCTAAAATTCCCCATGTTGTGTAATCCAGTCATCACCAGAAATGGACTCAACCTTCATTCACTCTATGACAACATCAGGGAGCTGTGGCCATGAATTCACACGCCCTCTCAAAAACCACATCACTCCTCCCACACCTGTGCTCCTGTAGCCCAGCTCCCATAGACATCTCCTTGGTCTTAGTTATTACTCAGCATGTGTGTTCCAGAGGATGAATGGCAAGTTCAAATAGTATCAAGGACTAACTTGAGTCTGATTGCCCACACACACCCAAGACACAACCTTCAGTCCTGCTATGAAGGCATCCCGACCAACTTGTTTTTTTTTCCAACCTCCTCTGAGAACATCAGATCTCAGTTACCCAGAGCCCACGTTTACTGCTGCTGCACTTGATGTCCCTTCTCCACTCACAGCCCTCAGTACTCAAGTCCCACCGCTTATGGCCCTCTGCCCCATGCCCAGTGAGTCCCACAGATGTCCATTCAGGCCCATAAGCAAATCAATCAAACTGGATGCAACACACCAGGCCACACAAAGAGTCACAAGAAATCCTATTGAGTGTTTAATAAGTATATACACACCAGCCACATCTCACCTTTTTTGAATTACTCTCCTACCTCCAATAAAATAAAATGAAAAGGTGATCTACAACTCCTCCCTGGTCCATACTCTTTACTATTTTTTAAAAAATATATATATTTTATTGATTTTGTACAGAGAGGAAGGGAGAGAGATAGAGAGTCAGAAACATCGATGAGAGAGAGTCATCGATCAGCCGCCTCTTGCACACCCCCTACTGGGGATATGCCCGCAGCCAAGGTACATGCCCTTGACCGGAATCGAACCCAGGACCTTTCAGTCCCCAAGCCGACGCTCTATCCATTGAGCCAAACCAGTCCTGGCTCTTTACTATTTTTTTAAGTAGTCTTCATCATGAACTACTCAGAGTTCCAGATGGTCATGAACTGGACTCTGAAATATCTAATAGGAAAAATAAAAGATTTTATGTTCCTCATGGACATTATTTTTCCCACTATGAATTTCTCCATGTCAGTTGATGGTGCTTTCATACCTTCAGGTGCTAAGTCCAAACATTTGCATCATCTCTGATTTCTACCTCTCTCTCCAAACTTCAAAATTAGAAAATCCAGGTGGCCACACCTAAATCTCTGATCCCTAAGGCAACTGCTTCTTCCACATCCACAACCACCACTGTGCTCCCGTCACCATCCCCCTCACCAAGGCCATCACAGCAGCTTCCATTGTAGTCTTCCTACCCCGTCCTCACACCCATGCTGTGCCTCATGCTACAGTCACAGGAGTCTAATGAGACCTGGGACACATCCCCTGCTCTTCTGCTCCAATGACCCCAATGACCCCACCACCAGCAGAACAGAAACCCGAGTTGTCACAAAGCTCCTCTGTGCTTGATTCCTGTCCCACCGTTTCTGTTGGAGACCGGGTGTAAGCTGACAGGGTCCTTGCACCCGAAGGGGCTAGTGTTCCCAGGCTTGTTTGGATGGTGATTATCAGTAGAATGATGGCAACCTTTCATGACTTGCCAAGAAGTCTGTAACTATTTACTGAGATTTGCTGTACCAAGAATTTGTCCTTCTGCTCGGTCTCTCCCTTAGAGATTAAGAGGAAGAAAGAGAACATTATTTTGACAGACTTCCTATTTAAGTGTTTGTGTATAAAAGGTATTACACAGTTAATAAAGCTGCTGCAGTCCGTCAACGGCTAACTGGAGTCCTCCCGATCCCACTTTCCTGTCTTTTCTTTTCTCAATTCCCACCTCCCCACCTCGGCGGCCCGCTTCAACTTGTCAGGCTGGCCCTGGCATGCTTTCAGTTCCTATTTTTTAAGAATGGAAACCTGCTCGGCCCTGAATCAGTTTAGTCTTTACTTCAAGCCTTGGCACATACTTTTCTTTTCTTTTTTAAATATATTTTATTGATTTTGTACAGAGAGAAAGGGAGAGAGATAGTTAGAAACATCGATGAGACACAGTCATCGATCAGCTGCCTCTTGCACACCCCCTACTGGGGATATGCCCGAAACCAAGGTATGTACATGCCCTTGACCGGAATCGAACCCGGGACCCTTCAGTCTCCAAGCCGACATTCTAACCCACATGTGTCAAACACAAGGCCCGAGGGCCAAATCCGTCCCGCCAGGCCTTGCAATGTGGCCCGCACTGCGCTGTCATCACTGCACTCCGCTGCGTTTCCATCACAATGACAGTTTATGACTGTTCAGTAAACCATTCGGCCCGCGATTTAGGCTGGGTTTTAGATTTTGGCCCCTTCTCTGATTGTGTTCGACACCCCTACTCTAACCATTGAGCCAAACCGGTCCCGGCATACTTCAAGCCTTGGCACATTCTGGAACCTATGCAAGGAAGGCCCCATTACCCACAATTCCACTGGCTGCAAAAATCAGATATCACTCATATGACCCTTCACCTAGACTTAGGATTCCAGCCTCGGTGTCCCTTCCAGGTCCCCCAGTCCCAGGGCCCCCGAGAAGAGCGGCTGGACAGCCCAGGCCCCACAGCCTGAGGCCCCCGCAGTGGGAGGCCCTGACCTCAGCCCACAGCCCCGCCCCTGAGCGGCTCTGACCGCAGGGCCTGTGGGAGCTGAAGGCGCTGAGGGCCCGGCTCCCCCGCCAGGACCCGGGGCCCAGGCTGCTCGGGGCCCGGCCCAGCCCCGGGGCCGGGGCCGCCGCCCCCTCGGGCTCCGTCCCTCTGTGCGCACAGCCAGCCCGGCCCTGAGGAGGACAGGCTCCTCCCGGAAGCCCCGGTCCCTTTAGACACACAGGCCGGCCGCCCCCCTCCGCCCCGGCCTCCCGGGCCCCGCCCGCCCCTGCGGCCCCCACGGGCACTCACTGCTCCGGGCGGCGGCCTGGGCTGCGGCCTGAGCGGCGCCGCCCCGAGGCGGGAGGGCCGCCGGGGCCGCTGAGGGCGCTGTGTCCGCGGGAGGAGGCGGGGGCCCGGGGACCCAGTCCCGCCGGGTGGGGGCCCCCCGCCTCAGACACCTGCCCGGCGGGACGACTACTCCTACTCGCCGCCTGAGCGAGGCCACTGAGTCTGTGAACACCCGGAACAGGCCGAAACGGCCGCCAGGAGGAGGGCGCAGGAAGTCCCGCCCCAACCGGATGTGCAAGCACCAAGACGCTCCTAACCCTGCGTGCTCTTGCGCAGTGCTTTCTGGGTGATGTAGTTTTTACAACAGCCCAGAGGAGGCCTCATCCCAGCCAATTTCCTTGGTGATTACAGGTGTTGAGGCCCCACAAGTGGTGCTGGAGGAGGAGATGGGGCTGAAGGTCTGCTTACCTGGTCCGCACTGACAGATCCACCAAAGAATACATAGAAGGGGGAAATGGGAGACATCTGTAATACTATCAATAAAACTTTTTAAAAAAATTTTTAAACATTTTAGCCCAGCTTTCTGTGGCTCAGTGGTTCAGACTCCACCCTTGAACTAAGAGGCCATGGTTTCATTCATAGTCAGGACACATACATAGGTTGCAGGCTCCATTCCCACGGAGAGGGAAGGTACAGGAAACATCCTATCAGTGGTTCCCTATCATCTTTGATGTTTCCGTCTCTTCCTCTCCGTCCCTCCCTAAAATTAAGTAAAAATATTTTTTCAATGTATGATTTGAATGAATTGTACTTAAATGAATCTCTGAAAAAGGGTTAAAGCCTGAGGCTTCCCAAAGGTTTTACTGTGTTATTATGAAAGTTCTGGCCAAAACCGGTTTGGCTCAGTGGATGGAGCATCAGCCTGCGGACTGAAAGGTCCCGTGTTTGATTCGGGTCAAGGGCATGTACTTTGGTTGCAGGCTCATCTCCCGTGGGAGGTGTGCAGGAGGCAGCTGATCAATGTACCTCACTCATGGATGTTTCTCTCTCACTTACTCTCTGTAAAAAAATCAATAAAATATATATATATTTAAAAAATAAAAGAAAAAGAAAGAAAACGTTCTGGAGCACATTTGTTGCCACTGGATCAGTATATTGGAAATAAAATACAATCCTATGCTATCTGGTCATGTGCATATTCAATGCTATCAGTTTGGCAGTTTAATACAGACCATGATGAGAGTTTTTATGCCAGAGGAATTGACAAATACTACAAACCTAGACTTCATTTAATGTATTAATAAATGCTTAGACTTATATTAATAGTGGCTCTGAATGTTAGCAATGCATCTTCAATGTATAAGTACATGGTATAAGTTGACTTCAGTTGTACATAATGTTCATCATATAAAAAAATAAAATAATTTAAAACATTGAGTACAACAATTTTCCTTCAGGATTCAAAACCAATGGCTCCATATGGCAAAGAAGTCACTTGAGTCACTGAGAAATGAAATTCCTGCAGATGTCTCAAATGCTGCACAGTCCTCCTACAGTTAAAATAATAAATTTATTTATTTTGAAAATTATTCTAAGCAGGCATTTAAAAAAATACATTTTACTGATTTTTTACAGAGAGGAAGAGAGAAGGATAGAGTTAGAAATATCGACGAGAGAGAGACATCGATCAGCTGCCTCTTTCACATCCATTACTGGGGATGTGCCTGCAACCAAGGTACATGCCCCTTATGGGAATCAAACCAGGGACCCTTCAGTCCACAGGCCGATGCTCTATCCATTGAGCCAAACTGGTTTCAGCTCTCAGCAGACATTTTTTTTTAAAATATATTTTATTGATTTTTTACAGAGAGGAGGAGACAGGGATAGAGAGCTAGAAACGTCGATGAGAGAGAAACATCGACCAGCTGCCTCTTGCACATCCCCTACCAGGATATGCCCGCAACCAATGTACATGCCCTTGACCGGAATCGAACCTGGGACCTTTCAGTCTGCAGACCAACTCTCTACCACTGAACCAAACCGGTTTCGGCTCAGCAGACATTTTAACAAAACTGATAAATGGTGTAAATAAACGTACGAAAAAGTGTTCACCATAAAAAATTCTTAGGTAGATGGAATTAAAAGGAAAGCGAGTCAATATTATACGCATTTCCAGTGTTACTATTTGAAAAGATTAACCATTGTAAGTCCCTGCAGGGAAGCAGGAAAATCAGAATTTTTATATACTGTGGGTTAGGGGAAAGGCAAAGGGAATGACCATATTGGCTCACAATTCCCCATATTATATACATAAAAATTTCACTGCACTCATTTTGGTAAGTGAAACATATGTCTACATAGAGAACTGAATGCAAATTCTCCCTGAAGTTATTTATAATACCCCAAACATGGAAATAACAAAAAACATTGACAGGCCCTATCCAGTCTGGCTTAGTGGATAGTGTCAGCCTGAGGACTGAAGGGCCCGGTTTCAATTCCAAAGGCAAAGGGCATGTACCTTGGTTGGGGATGTCTTTCACAAATATTCCCCATGCACACTCTGTGAACTGCAGTCTGCCATCAGTCTCCCCCAAACCCCCAGACTGACCCTTCACTTCATCCCTGAGGCCTGAGAGGGGTCCCCTGGGGGGCACAGCAGAGGCTGGGAGAGCAGCAGAAGGGGCTCACCTGAGGTTGGAGAAGCACATAGAGCCTCTCTACAATGCCTCTCTGGAGATTGCCTGGGTCAGTGGTTCTCTACCTTCCTAATGCCGCGACCCCTTAATACAGTTCCTCATGTGGTGGTGACCCCTGACCATAAAATATTTTCGTTGCTACTTCATAACTGTCATTTGGCTCCTGTTAATGAACCATAATGTAAATACCAGTTTTCCGATGGCCTTAGGAGACCCCGCTAGCGGTTCTCAACCTGTGGGTCCCGACCCCTTTCACAAGGAGTCGCCTAACAGAGATTCAAACAGAGCCTGTGGGGCCCAGGGGTGTGGGTGGGTGGGTGGGAGGTAGAACTTCTCTGTGGAGCGTGGCTACAGAGTTTGGACAGGTTCAAGCCGTGGACTGGAGAGGCCAGAGTCTTCTCATGAGCAGGTTTTGGGCTCCAGCCCAGCAGGTGTGCAGGAGGCAGCCTAACAATGATACTCTCTCATCATTGATCTTTTTACCTCTTTCTTCCTCTTTGATATCAATAAAAATACATATTGTTGCCTGGCCTCCTGGCTCAGTGGTTGGGTGTCAACCTATAAACTAGGAGCTTACAGTTCAATTCTTGGTCAGGACTCATTCCTGGGCTGAGGGCTTGATAACCCAGTGTGCAGTGTGCCAGAGGCAGATCAACGGTTCTCTCTCATCGCTGATTTTCTCTCTCTCCCTTCTCTGAAATCAATAAAAATATTTAAAAAATATATATGTAGTTGAAATGTGTGTTTTAAATCAATTACACTTATATCAAACTTTAAAAAACATTAAAAACTTGCCACTTTTTTATTTTCAATTGGCAATAATCGCACCTGGGATAAACCTCATTGGCTATAAGATACTACCACTGCACAAAGCTAATTTTACCATTTTACAAGAAATGTTCTTGAGCACACTCATTGCCACTGTATCAGCATGTTGGATAAACTACAATGATGTGTGACAAATATCTTCCCATGTCCTTGTTCAAGGACATCATTTTGGCAGTTTGAACATGGTGGCATTGGGAGTATTTACACTAGGGAAATTGACAAATATTACAAACGTGTACTTCGCTTAATGTACTACTAAATGCTTAGACTTAAAAATGAGTGGTGGAGAATGTTAACAATGCACATTGAAGTTATAAGTGTATGGTACAAATGGGCTATAAATTATAAATAGACAAAAAACTTAGAGAGAAAATAGTCTTTCTATAATTTAAAACCAATAGTTCCATACCGCAAAAGTGTCACTCGAGTCATTGAGAAATGAGTGAATTTGAAACACGCGTCTTAGCTGCTGCACTGATAAATTCACTGTAAACATAGGCAAAAGACCCTGAGCAGACATTATAACAAAGGAGGTAAAGACAGTGTAAATAAATGCGTGAAGAAGTGCTCACCATCAAAAGTTCATAGGGAAACGTTATTGAATTGAAAATGGGTTCACAGTATACACATTGCGGGACCACTAGTTAAAAAAATTAACCATCAGATGTGCTGGTAGGTTAGGGAAAAACTGGAATTTTCATTTCTGTGGGTGGCTAGGCAGCAAAGGAAATAACCACTTAGGGTCACAGTTCTGCATATCTTACACAATATAAAACATTCACCGACACTGCAACAGTTCGAGGAGTAAAACATTTACCTGTGGAAAGAACTGAATGCAAATATTCCCAGCAGATTTATTTATAAAACCTCAAATGTCAAAATAATCAAAGCCACAGACAGATCAATAGACAAAGTGGTTATCCATGGGACACAATATTAGTCAGCAATAAAGATGATTACATGATCACATCAAAGTTAGTGTTGGATCTCAAATTACCTGTGTAGTATGAAGCCAGTATTCACAATTTACAAATCTTATACTTCCTATAAAATTGTGAAAAATATGAACTAATCTATTATAAAAGAAGATATACTGATTGGCATTTCTCCAGTATGACCTCTGTGGTATCACCTGAGGGTGCACCTATGGCTGCAAGAATACCCACAATCCTGACACTCGCATGGCTTTTATAGTGTGTGAACTCTCTTGTGGTAAAGGAGGTGACTACTGTACCTAAAAGACTTCCCACATGCACCACACACGTAAGGTTTTTCTCCAGTATGAACTCTCCGGTGCCGTGTCAAGGTAGAACTCTGTCTGAAGGACTTGCCACAATCACTGCACACATATGGCTTTTCCCCCGTGTGAACTCTCTGGTGCTCTGTGAGAATCGAGATTCGCCTGAATGACTTCCCACAATCACTACACTCATGGGGCTTCTCTCCAGTGTGGACTCTGTGATGCTTATGGAGAGCGATGCTTTGAGTGAAGAACTTTCCGCAGTCGCTGCACTCGTACGGCTTTTCTCCGGTGTGAACCCTCTGGTGCTCTCGCAGATGGGAGATTTGCCTGAATGTCTTGCCACAATCGCTGCACTCATAGGGCTTTTCTCCGGTGTGAACTCTGTGGTGTGTATGGAGAGCAGAGCTCACATTGAATAACTTTCCACAATCACTACACTCGTATGGCTTTTCTCCAGTGTGAACCCTCTGGTGCACACTGAGAGCCGAGATCTGCTTGAATGACTTCCCACAATCGGCGCACTCATAGGGCTTTTCCCCGGTGTGCACTCGGTGGTGTTTAGTGAGGATGGACCTCTGTATGAAGGACTTTCCACAAAGAGTACATTCATAAGGCTTTTCTCCAGTGTGAACTCTCTGGTGTTGAATGAGAGTACTGTTTTCCCTGAAGAATTTCCCGCAATCGGTACACTCATAGGGCTTTTCTCCAGTGTGAATTCTGAGGTGTTTAATGAGGTGAGATCTTTTTCGGAAGGCCTTCCCACAAACAGTACACTCATAGGTTTTCTCTCCAGCATGAACCCTCTGATGTTCAATGACGGCAGAGGTCTGCCTCAATGACTTCCCATGTTCACTATACTCATAAGACTTTTCTCCAGGGAGAACTCTGTCATGTCTGGTGAGGTTAGATCTCCGACTGAAGGACTTCTCACAATCACTATACTCACCAGTGTGAGCTCTCTTATGTTGCATAAGGTTAAAAATTCCTCTAAAAACATTCCCACATTTGCTACACACATAATTCACTTCTTCAGAGCAGACATCTTGATGCTGAACAACTCTCTGGTTGTGGCTGGCAGCTTTTTCACCTTCATCCCAATCATAATGACTATTTCCACTGAGAAATTCCAGTGAAATCTCACTGCCACTGTGTGGCTCCTCAGTGTTGAGAGGGGCCTGGTGCCGGAGAAGCTCTGAGATGGCTGGCAAGTCTTCGCCAACCTCCCCGCTGGTTGAAAGCATCCAAGATAAATAGAAACTGCACCTGCTCACAAACGAGGCCCTGTCCACAGCTTCCCTCCAGGGCTTCTCTCCACTGGCTTCCCTATGTTGCTGATCAAGATTTGCACTGAAACAGAAGTCTCTCACACATGCGTCACTGAAGAAGCCTTTCTGCTCAAAGTCTGCTGCTTGTGACTCAGTCAGGTGCAGAATGTCTGTTAACAGAGAGAAACACCTTCTGCAGAGATGGGTCCCCTGGGTTGCTGGAGCTTTCTCAGAAGCCCTGACCTGTGACGCTCTTTCTACAGATACACTCTGCTCAGAAGAGGCCTCCGCATCATCTGTTTTATGACAACAACCTGAAAAAAGAAAAATGCCGAGGAAGTTAATGTTGAATATGGTGACAGAGGAATGTTCCATTACAGAAGAGTGTTACCCTTAACACATGGGTTCTATGAAACTGTCTGAAAATAAAAGATGTGAAACAAGGATTAACAAGAGGCTGCTGAGTCCTAGCTGGTTTGGCTCAGTAGATAGAGCGACGGCCTGAGAACTGAAGGGTCCCAGGTTCGATTCCAGTCAAGGACATGTACCTTGGTTGCGGGAACATTCCCTGGGGGAGAGCGGGGGGGGGGGGGGGGACCCACGTGGGAGGGGGAGAGGTGTAGGAGGCAGCTGATCAATGTTTCTCTCTCATTGATGTTTCTCTCTTTCCCTCCCACTTCCTCTCTGTAAAAAAAAAAAAAAAAAATCAATAAAATATATATTTTAAAAAAATAGTATTTAGGAAGGACATATTATAAACAACAACTGAAGTAGGGTCTTACAAGAGCAGTCCATGGATCGTGCTATGATCATAACCTGGCACAAGCTGTCCTAAAGAACCTCCAGCTACAGAAGGGAGCAGAAGCAGAAGCCATGGATGTGGACAGTCACCCTCCCACAGAGTTGAACAGCAACGTGGGACCCAGTAAGCTGTCTGCAGGTTTCCTGATTCTCAGACATTAACTGCACTTTTTGAGGCAACGGGTCTTGGGGATGTTGGGTGAGTCCATTGCTCAGGGCTCTCCATACAGGTCACAACTGAAGCCACAGCACAATGGACGAGAATGTGGGGCATGAGCAGAGCCCACGGTCAGGCTCTGAGAGAGAGAAAGCTACATTGGGAGAATAAAGGAAGAGCAGACATCATGTCAGGACACTAGAACATATGAGAAGGTCTTACCTACAGATGACACAAGTGCAAACACTTCCAGCATCACATCGCAAAACAGAAGTCTCTGAGCCTCATCAAGGAGCCCCCACTCCTCCTGAGAGAAGACAATGGCCACGTCCTCAAAGTTCATATCCTGTCACAATGGAGACAGTTCAGTCCATGGTCAGCTTCTCTGCTATGATTTTATGTTCATCATATACCCCACCATCTACATCCATCCACTTCCTCTACTCCCCACATCAGAGTAGGTACCAGGCCTTGGTCCCACCAAGGAAACCCTCTCCTTATGGTTCCTACTGATACTGTGTCTTCCCCCGACAATAAAGACCAATGACCAGGAGATCATACATGAAACTGGGCCTCATATTAGGCATAGGCCACAATGTCTCTTGTCAATAACAGTGGGTGTCACCAACAAGGGTAGGGAGAAATGTTGGCCAAAAGAGAGTGTGAGTGATTTGACACTGGTATTGTTAGGCAATATTTTTGCAGTCCCCAGACTGTCCCTGCAAGACACCTAAATCCATGGATTCACACTTCATTCAGCATTTCAACCCCAAAACCAAGGTTCTGGGGCCATCACTGTGCATGACCTGCTGCACATAATTCTTCTGATTTATTTATTTTTTTTTGTCGGAATGGGCAGCCTGTTTACTGAGTACAGAGGGTGCATTTACCAATTGAGTACACAAATTAAATAACTGCACGTTCTCCGCCCACCGTCCATGGCATCACGGCCCCAATGGGCCTGTCAAAGGCCCGTCTCCAAAGTCCTTCTGTCCTACCTTCAGGACCAGGCCTATCAGGGGCAAAAGAGGAAGTAATTTCCCAGGACTTCAGCCCCCAGAGGCCCTTGGGAAAGTCAGGGCAATTCTGAGGCCATGGGGCTTGGGCTCTCCACTGCCTTGAGCCAGGAGCACTGGGGGAAGAAGGAGGTGGTGTATAAGGCACAGTCGACTTGGCCCAGAGTGACCTCTTTGGCTTGGGATTCCACTGGAGGTGGCGCATGCAGGAGGAGGGCCTGGCCCATGGCTGCCGCTGGGAGGAACTGAGTGAGGGCCAAACCCTCCCTGTTGGCAGGGGCCCTGCAGTCTAGCTAAGGCTAAAGCTGGGCCCTACCCACTGAAAGCAGCTGTGCGTGGACGGGGCTTGGTCCCAGCCCAGATGGTGGTGGGAGAAGGCACAATGACTGACGCGGGATGGTCTGGCTCAGGTGTCTAGGAAAGCAACCACCTAATTCCACTCACCTCCTACAGGGGCTCCCTCCAGCCTGAGAGTCAGTGGGGCTCAGACTGGAAAGGTAATGCTGGAAAGGAAGCGGGGACGGGAGGCCAGTGCCCCGGGCGCTCAGGGCTCAGAGGCAGATCACACAGTTTGGCTAAGTTCCAGGGGAAGCTACGCAGAAGCTCAGCAAAGGGGGAGTGCAGAGCAGCCCAGAAGACCCCCCCTCAATTCAACAGCTCCTCCCTCTGGAATGCTGAAGGGTGAGCATGGTGGTCATTCCTCGGCTTGCCTATACTCCTGCCAGACACTAGATGGCGCCTTCATGCAGCCGCAGAGGAAGGAATAGCAGAGCCTAAAGGGAAAGGACCATGGGAAGTACCAAGGGTAGAACCAGGGTGGCACTGGAGCCCTGATGGGACTCTCCCTGGGAAGCCACTGACCTGTGCCTTGGCCCAGATGCCTTCATCCCCCAGACAGCAGCAGGGGGGCTCCCTCAGCGCCCCACAGTAGGGAAGAAGGCACCTGGAGAAAAGACAAGGCATCCAAGGGGGAGAGGGAAATGAAAAGCTCTGCAAAGGAGGCATCAAGATGATTGACACCAGTCCTAGCCGGTTTGGCTCAGAGGCTAGAGCGTCTGCCTGCAGACTCAAGGGTTCCAGATTCGATTCCAGTCAAGGGCACGTACCTTGGTTGCAGGCACATCCCCAGTGGGGGGTGTGCAGGAGGCAGCTGATCAATGTTTTCCTCGGATGTTTCCAACTCTCCCTCTGAACTACAATACTAAGACCATGATTCCCGGTATTAAGGTGATCCACAGCCCTGGCTGATGGGTCTCAGTAGTTGAGCATGGACCCATACGCACAGAGGTGGCAGGTTCCAGGCCTGGTCAGGTCACCTGCCTGGGTGATGGGCTGGATCCCCAGCAGGGCTTGAGCAGGGAGGAACTGATCCTTGTTTCTTGGCTCATAGAATTTTCTCTTTCTCTCTCAATTCCTTCCTAAGTCTAAAATCAATTCTATATATTAAAAGTATACCTTCTGCCAAGACCGGTTTGGCTCAATGGATAGAGCGTCGGCTTGGGGACTGAAGGGTCCCGGGTTCGATTCCGGTCAAGGGCATGTACCTTGGTTGCAGGCATATCCCCAGTAGGGGGTGTGCCAGAGGCAGCTGATCGATGACTCTCTCTTATCAATGTTTCTATCTCTCTCCCTCCCTCTCTGTACAGAATCAATAGAATGTATTTGAAAAAATAAAAATAAAAAATAAAAATAAAAGTATACCTTCTGATTCCTGAAACAGACCACTTCTCACTCCCAGCCTTTGCATATCCCGGTCCCTGTGCCTGGGAGAATCTCCCACATCTCACCCACCCGGTGCCCAAACCAGGGTCCACTCCCTCCAGCCCCAGCCGTGGCCTCAGGACCCTGGGCTGAGGGTCTGCAGGTCCCGGGGCAGGAGGAGCGGCTGGACAGCCCAGGCCCCACAGCCTGAGGCCCCCGCAGTGGGAGGCCCTGACCTCAGCCCACAGCCCGGCCCCTGAGCGGCTCTGATCGCAGGGCCTGTGGGAGCTGAAGGCGCTGAGGGCCCGGCTCCGCCGCCAGGACCCGGGGCCCAGGCTGCTCGGGGCCTGGCCCAGCCCCGGGGCCGGGGCCGCCGCCGCCTCGGGCTCCGTCCCTCTGTGCGCACAGCCAGCCCGGCCCTGAGGAGGACAGGCTCCTCCCGGAAGCCCCGGTCCCTTTAGACACACAGGCCGGCCGCCCCCCTCCGCCCGGCCTCCCGGGCCCCGCCCGCCCCTGCGGCCCCCACGGGCACTCACTGCTCCGGGCGGCGGCCTGGGCTGCGGCCTGAGCGGCGCCGCCCCGAGGCGGGAGGGCCGCCGGGGCCGCTGAGGGCGCTGTGTCCGCGGGAGGAGGCGGGGGCCCGGGGACCCAGTCCCGCCGGGTGGGGGCCCCCCGCCTCAGACACCCTGCCCGGCGGGACGCCGCCCCCTGCTGCTGGCCACCAGGTGGCCGAATCCGGACACTCACTGACCACACCTCAGGTCTAAAGGACCGCCACGAGGAGGAAGCAGGAAGTCCCGCCCTAACAGGATGAACAGCACCTGTAGGCTTGGTCTGTTGTCGGCGCAGTGCTTTCTGGGTAATGTAGTTTACTAAACCGCCCAGGCCCAGGGCTGGAGGCCAGCCAATGACGTTGGTGAATAAAGGTGTTGTGGTACCACGTGTGTCCCTGGGGAAGGACAATTTGGGCCCAGAGGCCTGCTGACCTGGGGCAGACTGACAGACCTCCCAGGGGAGCGTGGGGAGACTGGAAGAGATTCCCCCCCCCCCCAAAAGAACATATACTCGAGGGAAATGGGAGACATCTGCAATACCATCAACAATTAAAAATACATTTTAAAATACTGTAGAAAGAATATAGCCCAGGTGTGGGTGAGGGTTAAGCATCAACCTATAAACCGGGAGGTCACCGTTCTATTCCTGGTCATGGCACACAGGAATGGGAGCGTTCCTTCGGCTGCTAAATCCAAACCTTCACTTCCTGACTCCTCTCTCTCTCTCTTCTCCAAAAATATTAGAAAACCCAGGTGGCCACACCTAAAGCACTGATCCCAAATCCAACTGCTTACTCCATATGCACGGCCACCATCATGGGGCAGATACCATCACACTCACCAAGACCATCAGGACAGCGTCTGTCCTAGTCTTTCCTCCACGGTCCTCACACCCATACTGTGCCTCATGCTGCGGCCAGAGGGCGTCTGAGACCTGGGACACCTCACCTGCTCTACTGCTCCAATGACCCCAATGACCCCACCACCAGCAGAACAGAAACCCCAGCTGCCATCATGCTCTTCTAGCCCCGACTCCTGTCCCACTGTTACCAGTTCCTATTTTAAAAAATATATACATCTGCTGGCTCCTGAAAGCTGTCTTCACTCCAAGCTTTTGCACATTCTGGAACCTATTCATGGAAGGACCTATCACATCCATTTCCAAAATCAAGGACCACTCATATGACCCAAGACCTGGACTACAGATTCTGGGCTTGGTATCCCTTTAAGGTGCCCAAGTCCAGGGCTAGCAGAGTGGCTGAGCAGTCACGGACACCACTACCTCGGAGGCCACAAGAATGTGAGGTCCTGAAATATATTTTATTGAGTTTTTACAGAGGAAGAGAGGGACAGAAAGCTAGAAACATCCATCAGCTGCCTCTTGCACACTCCCCACTGGGGATGTGCCCACAACCAAGATACATGCCCTTGACCGGAATCGAACCTGGGACCTTTTACGCCGCAGGCCGACGCTTTATCCACTGAGCCAAACCGGTTTCGGCATATCTTCTCCCTTCTAATGTGTTCTTCCTGAGTATCTTTGGGAAGTTTAGAACCCTACCTCAGATGACTTAGGGTGTGAGTTTTTTTCACAGCCATCAATGGCCCCAGAGACCTGAGAATGATAGTAAAAAAATATACAAATCTCTGCCTCATCTTTTTGTTGCCTTCTGACAGAAAGGTGGCTTGGGTTTCTCCAATGCTCCCAGCTCAGTCACCCCATCACGTTCTCAAAGGGTGGAATTGCACCGTCACCCATGAGACTCACTGTTCTGATGCTGGCACCTGGGCTGCAGAACCTGACAGGTGCCCGCACCTGAGGCTGGAGGGTTAAATGGGGGTACCGCTGAGTTGAACTCTGTAAGCAGAGAGGAGTCTGGGAGGTAGGGAGGCCTCAATCCCGTCTATTGTGACTCAACAAGCCCCAGAAAGACCACTTCACAGTGGGCTGCTGCCTCTGACGCCTGGTCCCACTGGAGACCTGGCTCCCGGAAGCCAGTTTCTGTGACCACCACCACAGAAGTTAAATGACCACCAGGTTCAGACCGTGCGAATCCCACCCTAAACAATGTGCACCTGGATTATGCGCCTGTTCTGGGCTTTCACTGGCTAAACCCAGCCATGGTTAGGCCCATGGACCTTGGGTAACAGTGTATACTTTTTGAGGCCTTGTAGGTGGAATTAGGATCCTTGATCGTTGCAAATATTGGTGGTTGCGAAGGCAGCTGTCACAGGGAAATGACTACTTTTATTAGTATAGATTAACTTTTATTGGTTTTATTTTTAAAAATATATTCTTATTGATTTTTTTACAGAGAGGAAGGGAGAGGGATAGAGAGCTAGAAACATCGATGAGAGAAATATCGACCAACTGCCTCCTGCACAACCCCTACCGGGGATGTGCCCGCAACCAATATAAATGCCCTTGACCGGAATTGAACCTTTCAGTCCGATGCTCTATCCACTGAGCCAAACCGGTTTTGGCAATTTTTATTGATTTTAGAGAGGAAGGGAGAATTATTGATCAGCTGCCTTCTGCACGCCCCCTACTGGGGATCAAGAGCGGAACCCAGGCATGTGCCCTCGAATGGAATTGAACCTGGGACCTTTCAGCCCACAGGCCAACACTGAGCCAACACTTTATCCACTGAGCCAGACCAGCTAGGGCCCTACAGGCCTTAAAACAAAATTTGAAATAATACAAAGGACAAAATGTTAACAGTTCCTACATTGTATGTCTGTGGTCAGTACACACTGTGACATTAAGGAGCTAACAGTTACTGAATGTTTACTACAGGTGCCAGGCCCGGATTCAATGCTTTACCTGCATCATTATTTCATTTAATCCTCTCTGCAACCTGAGATGGTTTAACCATCCATTTTATGGAGAGAAAATTCAGGCTCAAAGATTCAACGTAAATTGCCTGTTTGTAGAGTTAATAAAGGCAGGGCTGGAAGTCAAACCCAGGTGTCTCTAACAGAACTCTGGCTCCTAATGTTAGGCTCTGCTGCCTCCTAGAGGGTGGAATCGGAGATGCATTTCCATTAGGACAGACTAGATGTTATTGTGGGTAATGAGCAACCCCAAAGCTTTAGTGGCTTAGAGTAAAGAAGGTATCTTTCTTGTTCATAGCACATGAACACCCTGGTTCTCCTGGGACCAGGATAAAAGAGAGCCCACCATATAGGTACCTCCTAGGTGTTATCAGAGAACAGAGGGCGGCCGGTCTCAGGGCTTCCAGACTCTTCTGTTAGAGGTGACGGGCTTCCCTCCCATCACATTTCATTGGTCAAATAACATCAAAGGACTGCAGCCAACTTCATGGGGTCAGCAGGAGAACCCCGTATATTTGATGGGCCTCTAGGAACCTAAGGCCACCACAAAGTGACAATATCTTCAGGGGCTGACCAGGGCAACGAGAGGAGTGGGGATTGGTAGGAAATGGCAGAGGAAGTCAGTCAGGATGGGTCCGTCTCCTCGTCCAGGTGGACTTTGTCCCCAGCTGCCCTAAATGGTAATGGCAAGATTCAAAGGGGTGAAATTCCGACAAAGGAATTTTGTCAGATGGCATTGGCAGCAAACTCCTGCTTGCCTGCCACACACCCACCAGGCTTGTGCCCTCACAATAATTGAACTGGCAACCTTTCTGTACACAGGATAATGTTCAGCCAGCTGAAGCTGAGGAGCTAGGAGTTACTGAATGCTGAGTGTGACCTGGGTAATCGCTGGCTGCCTGTTCCCCCCACTGTGGTGGAGGTGAAAACCTCCATGTTAACTGTGTTGCCGGGGAAGGTCCAGGACTACAAGCATCCAGCATCTAAGTAATTTTACATCAACATCAATCACTGCCTCCCAGTCTCTGTACCTTTTGCTTGGCTCAGGTAAGTGACCCAGCAGGTGGGGCTGATAAAAATTTTGCCATTAACATCGATGGCGACCCTGTGGTTTCCATTCATAGTGTGTATGAACCTGTGCTAAAGGCAGTCCCTCCATATATTCCATCATCACCGCGGGAGAGAACGGGGCATAATTCTGCTTCCTGGGCGAAGGCAAATATTTGCAATACTGATGGTTGCAAACCCAAGTGGCCCTGGGAAATGACCACTTTAGGTCTTGGAGGTTGGTTTCTGGGGAGTGTTGTCTGCAATGGATCTGTTATTTGAACACATTTCAGATTCCGTGAAGCTCAGAATGCTGCTTGAGGTGAAAAGTATTATTTAACTTACTAGAGGCTCAGTGCATGAAATTAATGCACGGGGGTAGGGGTGGGGTGTGTGTGTCCCCCTCAGCCCAACCTGCACCGTCTCCAATCTGGGACATCCCTCTCACAATCTGGGACCACTGGCTCCTAACTGCTTACCTGCCTGCCTGATTGCCCCTAACTGCCCCCACCCTGCTACCTGGTCACCCCCAATTGTACCCTCCTGCCAGCCTGGTTGCCCCCAACTGCCACCCCCACCAGCCTGGTTGCCCCTCACTGCTGACATAGACACCCCTCATTCCTCGCCCCTTCCCCCCCAAATCCGGCCTGGTAGCCTTCCACAGCCTGCTGCTCAGTCATTTGGTTGCCCCTAACAACCCTGCCGGCCTGGTCGCCCCATGCAGCCTCCTTGTGCAGTTGCTTGGTTGTCCCTCACTAACCCCCTGCTGGCTTGGTCGCCCCATGCAGTCTCCTTGTTCAGTTGCTTGGTTGTTCCTCACTAACCCCC